TCAAAAACATACAACACCAGGTATTCGCTGGTCGTCACCGACCCAACTACTAATCCGGCCCTCATTGGCTTATCTATGGGAGAGCGGACGGGATCCCGAGTTTTCCAATGGGTATGGTCGTATGTGACAGCCTGCACGAAAATGGTAGTCAACAAACCAAGCAAGTCGCACCAACGCGCGCAGAGAGGACCACAGTCGCGAGTTGCCCTTTGGATCAAAACATCATCATCTGCTGCCACTCCAGGAACATGATGTGTACACTTTAGATTCAAGAAGTCTTAATCACTTGGCCTTGGGGGAGGGGTGGGGGGGGGGGGGGGCAAATTCTGGTGGTAGCGGATAATTACATTGCTCCGGATTCCATGTTTGTTACGAGACAGACTGCGCCAACCTTCTACCTTAATGCGAAAGAGCCTATCAAGTTCACATCTGCGGAGAAATATTAATGTCACGTACAGCTAGATAACTAATTTAGTGTTTATGAGTGGTTCAGGTCGATCAGCAGCACCAGAACCTGACTATCCACATCTAATAGAAGTATCAGACAGTCAAACCGGAAGAAACGCGGGCTGAACACAATATATGTATTTTCAAGATCGATTGTCCTCAAGCATGGGGACCAGGGGTGGCATGTTTTAGTAATCACATAAGACAAGCGCGGCAGTATCGTTTGAATTGAGACATGGATTGTGTTTCTGGTATTCTATGTCCAGTTCTCTTTCCGTAATGTGTTTCATGCTCAGTAAACAGTGTTCTGATACACTGTACATGCTATGGGTACTATTCGGCATTTGAGGGTGTACCAAACCCCTCCCTATCCAGCTCTCAGTGAAGATAAAGCTTGCTGCATATAGTACGAAATAAGCTCCGAGGACTGTCCATGATATTTCAGTATCATTACGGCAATGCAACCCAAGCCGAGACTGGTCAGTGTGCCCGTAAAGACCCTGGAAATTGAAGACTTCGGGCTCTCGACCCTTCGGACTTCGAAGTCGGGCCAGCGTGGGAAGATGGTTCGCAGTCAGTAAAGGAACATAGGATCCGGGTATATGAATGTGTTCTTCTTGGTCTTGGGGTCCATCCACCAGCTCTGACAGCCGCTGTTGAAGACAGGATACCTGAGCTTGTCGTGTACCCAAGCGAGGTCACGGCGCTGAGCTTCAGGCTTGACCATGATTGAGGCCGCAGGGTCATTGCCGGTGAGAACTTGGCGAAGCAGACGACAGGTATAGTTGATCTGGCATTCAGAGTGGAAAATGACTGAGTGCTGACCCGTGGCAGCGTTGGGGCCATACAGGATGAAGAAGTTAGGTACCCTTGTAAGCTTCAGCGCCACCCGTGGCATCCCAGACTTGATGCAAATTCAGACCGTTCTCGCCCTTGATCTCCATGGGATAAAGCCACTTCTGAACCAGTAGCGTAGATGATGGTATCTGCTGGGTAGGTGACACCGCTTGTAGTCTCCACATGGTGTGGGCCAATCTTGATGACACTGTCCTTGGCCAAGTGCATATTTGGTATGCAAGAAGCGCAGTGTTGAATATACCTGGGGATTGAAGGTTTCCTTTCACCCATCGAGAACGCTGCCACTCTCCTCAGAGCACATTGCTGTCCTATTTCATCTGGATAAGCAGGGAAAAGAGGCCCAAACTGATGAATCTGATAATGGTCGGCGGGGAGTAGCACCTCTCATTGTAAGCATTTTCCTTCCTTCGTTCGTCTAAGCAATAACTATCTGATACTTCCATTTCAAGATCATCGATGATACCCAAGAAATTATACGCTCCTTCGATAATGATGCGGAAGTATCTCTGGTGGAAAAGTCCGGCGGCAATATTTCCAGCCAAACCTGGCCAGAGGAACCCGACGAGTGCGATTCGCTCGCTATATCCGACGACGTGATACTAGACGAGGTTACCTCCAGATCTGGTAGGGGGGGTTGGCAACCTCCAGATCTGGATCCTGCGAGTCTATTCAGCGACTTTACTGCTCCGGAGGCTTAGGGCAGGACATTTGGTGTCTCGAATATCCTACCCCCACTTCCTAGTCTGGCCCCTCCGCATATCGCAACACCGCCATCGAATCCTGACTACGGGATCGACGAGTTATCTACCGCTCCCTTCTTCCTAGGGCAAGCCATCTCTAGGGGTGCTTCTCCAGAACCAGAGCCCAGGTTCCCTGTCTCTCAGGCGATCAAGATCGACCTTATGTCTGCTTACATCTCAGAGACTGCCACATGGTGCGAGACAACAGACTCGGACAGGCATTTATCCACAAGGAGTGTTCATGAAATGATGAGTTCGAAGCCTTTTGTCGCTGCAGCGATGTCACTCGCTTCCCGCCAACAAGATGCTGTGCAAGGTCGTCGACGACATCTCACGCTCGAACTTTACCAGTACACTATTCGCCTTTTGCTGAGACAGGACCCTACGAAACCGGATGCATCAATTCTGGCGACATGCACCATTCTTTGTGCATACAAAATGATGGCATCGAGTGTTTCCGAGTGGAGGCGTCATCTAAGAGTATGGCAATCTGTGTTCCTGTGCCTTATGTGTTGACCAGGCTGAATGCTAGCTAACCTTTGCGCCTGGTTGTAGGGCTGCGCGGAGCTATCACGTACCTGGCTGTTATGAGGAAATTTTATCAGTACCTTGTGAACGGATACCTCATCTTACTTATTCCCTTCGCTTGATTTGCATTTTCATATCTGTTACCTTACTATATATTTTACTTCGACTATCACCTTCAATGCTTTGGGCGTCGGACGTCAAAACACATCGTAGTAGACCACTCGAGAGTTATGCGGAGTAGAAAAGCGGCTTACTTAAGCTCTACAACAGGTTGCCCCTCGTTCGCGAGGTCTGGCTAGTATTCCACTTTAGACAGCATTCCATGATCCACCAAACGTCCATCATACGGACGCACTTCGGCCACCGTTGATAGGACGCTGTCTTGGACATGCTTTATTCGAATGAATCGCACCAATATCACAGATACCCATGCTCACGTTATAAAGAGCTGAAGGGCTTCAAAAGAGCATAGAAAGTAGATGAACATCACAAGTATGGGCTGTTCAGGGTTGATGAGACAGATAACGGCAAAGACGGATAGACGCAGAAGCCCATATCAGTCTATTTAGGGCGTGAGATATCATCTATATTAAAGCCTGATGTCCCTCGTGAGTCTTTCCTGCCTGCCAGCAAATTGGTTCCATCTTGTCACTTGTACTAAGTGCGTTTTGCGGGACAAAGTCTCACCCACAAAGGTGATTTTTCCCACACTGCAAAGACTCGTTGATCCATCCAATCATAATCCGTTGCGTTCATGACATCAAAGTGCCACAGGAGTCGAGACATTATGATCTTCATCTCAACGTATGCTAGATTCCTGCCAATGCAGTTGCGTGGTCCGTACTGAAAAGGCTGCGACGCATCTCGTTTATCATTCTCGAATCTTGCGTCTTCTCCGATCCAACGCTCCGGCGCGAACTCTTCAGGATTGGTCCAGTTCATAGGACTGTTCGAGGCGGCATAGATCGGAATACTGACAAATGTGCCCTCCGGAAGAAATTCATTGTCAACTGTTGCACCGCCAGGAGGGATAATACGCGGATGAGGCTGTGGTGAAGGGGGGTAGATGCGCAGTGTCTCTTCGATGCAGGCAAGCAGATACCGACATTCGTTGACGCTGATCATTGTGATGTCCTCAGGCCTTTCGAACATCGTCCTGATCTCGGTAGCAAGCTTGTCGTAGACCCGTGGGTGCTTGAGCAAAAGCCAAACGAGACCTGCAAGAAAGTCAATTGATCACACGCCAAAGCATTGGACCAAGATCTTGCTTACCAGAAAGGAGAGTAGCTGTCGTCTCACTTCCTGCACCAATCAGGATTTGTGAGTTTTCTTCTAGCTGGTGGTATGACATTTTGCCAGATTCATGTGCAGCAATCATCTTTTCCATGAAGTCCGGCACTGGAGGTTGTGTTTTAAGACGATGATTGACTTTTTCCTGAGTGGTGTCAATAGTCAAGCCAAAGAGACACAGAACAGAAGGGATTCAACCTTTTGTAGCGTGTTAAGAGTCGCGACTTGTGTCACTACTTGACTTGGAATCATTAACAGAGAAGCAGGATATTGAGCTAACTTCGGCAGACGGGCAACGACTTGATGCAGCGCCATATTCTTCAGTAATGAGAAGAATATGTTCACCCAGGTGTGCATTTTGGAAGACTCGAGACATTCAAAAGACTCGCCAAAGGCTGATTGCTCAAGTTAGGCATTACCATAAGTAGGAATGAACATTAAGTGGGAACGTATCGTGACGTACTTAAGTAGCCGATGAAGTCAAACGTAAAATACTGCGGTTGAGATGTGTTCGATTAGCACATTAACCGTACCACATCGATATCTTCTCATTCGGGCCCAGTCATTAGAATCTCCGGGTACTCACGTTGAACCATTGTACGAGGTCTATAGGCTGTTCGCTCTGGCTGATGCTGTCAAGTCTGTGAAACAAGAGGTCGACATATTCCTGCAGGATTGGTTCCTGTTCTCTCAAAGCCTTTTCGGAGAAACCATGAGCAAAAAGCTTGCGAATGTAGCCATGATAATGTCGATCGGCATTGAGAATGACTGGCTCTCCTTTCCAGCCCGCGTGATACTTTGGATCCTTCGAGAACTCGAGTTCTCCAGAGGGTTTATGGCCATATATCTCTTTCCACTGACTGGCGTTGATGAATGACAACCCATCTGGCATAGTTCGGACGACAGGCCCGTACTTGTTATGAAGATCCAAAAGATCCCACGGTGTCTTGCCTTTGTAGTAGGACCAAATAACCCACAAGGGAGTTGCTGCTGCCAGTCGGGGACCCGGATACTTGGCGAGAGGGTGGAAAAACAGGTTGTAGAAGATGAGACATAATTGGTACGTGATTATCTGAAGGATTGCCCGAGTTGTCAGCTGAGTACAGGGGAGTTGAGGTCAAGAGTTGAAAAGGATGAGAAAGAAAACGCAAAAAAAAAAAAAAAATACGGCGAGAGAGGGGAGAGTGGTGGTAGTACTGACAAACGCAATCATAAAACCCATGAGCATCCCGACGTGATGCAGAAGTGAAAGGTCAATACTGTTGTCAACTTGATTCTGGACAGCCATGATCGCTAGTGTGTGGTGTTCTCAATATTTAAGCCAGAAATGAGGTAGTCTACGTGGACAACTCTCGGTAATTATAATAATTCTACAACCAAGGAAACGGCAATGCATTCTTACATCGGTCTTTATTGCTTCTTTCCAGTCCGTACTCCTCGGTTCGCGTTGGAGGCTGATCCCGTTGTTAGAGCGAAGTCGAAGACGATTACCCACAAAATGACGGTGAAGTGGTTCTGCGCTTTGCGCGATTCATCGACATTTCAAAGGTGGGTTGCATGCGGGGAACCTGGAGCGGACTTCATAGAAGCCGTTATCACCGCTAAAACCGTCTACAACCTCGAAAAGTACACTACCACTTTAACTCAGCTTACTATCACATTTTGTAGTCGCGTTCCGATGGCGCGTTCTTGTAGATCAGGTTCAGGCACTACGATATCGAGGGTGACAGCAGACGAGGTTTTACTGAACAAAGCGAAAGGCAGATCTGGACGGGCTGCTTAGTTGGCACAGAAGACTCCCAGATCTTCTAGTCTCGCACGACAATATTGCGATAAGACTAATTTTTGGCAGTGCGCATAGTATAAGAGTCGTGTGAAGCCATCGCGCCTCAAGGCTGACTGTAACACACGTAGTAATGCAAACGTGTGGCAGCACTGCCGTTGCTGCCGCGTTTATGGGTGTTTCGGGGGGGGGGGGGGTTGTGATGAGGGCACTCTGCAAGCAATTGATAAGAAAAGAAAACAGAGAACCAGCCATAATTAAATACATAAAATGTCATTTTGGCAAGAACTAAAGACCCAAGGCTTTAACAATAGCCTCTCCAACGCCGTAGGCAGACGCTGGATTCTGACCAGTAATTATAATGCCATCAGTGACTACCATCTCTCCAAAAGGAGCATCAGCGGTGGCATATTTGCCGCCCACCTCCTTGATACGATCCTCAAGTAAAAAGTTCATCTCTGAAGTATATCCAGCCTTGCCCTCTTCAATATTGCTAAACCCGGTCACGTATCTTCCCTCGAGCAAATGGCTGCCGTCGTGATTCTTGACGTTCACGATAGCTCCAGGCCCATGACATACAGCAGCAATAGGTTTGTTCTGTGCGGCAAAGTCGGCGACGAGTTTCATACTCCCTTGGTCGAAAGCCAGATCGAACATCGGACCATGTCCACCTGGGAAGAAAATGGCGTCGAATTCAGATGCCCTGCCAGCATACATGGAAAGGCGTTCAGTGTTTTCCCAAGTGTGTTGATGATTCTTCAGGAAATTCTGAGATGATGGATCGTTGCCGAAGACCTTGACGGAAGCTGGATCAAGGGGTGCAATCCCACCCTCAAGGGACGCAAAGACCAGCTCCACTCCAGCATCTTTTAGAACATCATATGGATGAGCGAGCTCGGGCTTTGAAGCTGTCCATTAGATCTGGGCGGGGAGCAAGTTTTTCAAGAGCGTAGGGGACCTACCAGATACCAGCCAGTGGGCTTGCTGCTCTTTGGGATTTTGCCACAAGAGGTGAGTACAATAAGAACCTTCTTGGTCATATCGAAAGGCTACTAGATCATACGCCAATAGTCGGTAATAAACGAAGGACAACTGAACGTGCGAAGGTCAATACATGTGCCGAGTCATGTTAAGCTGAGGGGAATAGAGAGTTTATGTATCATTTTGTATTTGTGTGATGATCCAGACTTGTCTGGGTCTTGCCTTTAGCCAGACGGAAGCTTGGAGTTTGAGAATCACAGATTGCCGACGCTCTCCGAAATCCGTTCGCCCCAAGTCCGACGCAATGATGTTGTGGATGCCAACAAGGTTTGCGATGAGCTCCAAGTGCATTCCGGTATTCTTAGACCCAACTATTCCCGGATTTTACCTAACTCCATTACCGGTGTAGACACCGTTTTGCGTCCCAGTCCATACAGACGGAGAAAATTAATTTCCGCCCCTAAGCTGCGTGCCTAGCAACGTGTATACGAAGCGATCGCCAACAATCACCAGCACTGCCAAGCAGATTTTTTTCAACCCATTGCTGAAGTGCGTCGACTCAGAAAGCTAGCCAGCGACAGTTCATTTTCGAACGATTTCAGTTTGGCCATTGCATCAAACAGCGTGTGCAATCAAGGAGAGTCGGTACGAGAATGGCAGACAAACATGGATCAGAGCCGGCCACATCAGGCACCAACAATAGCCCAGAACGAGGCAACTCGAGAGAGGTCGCGGAGCGGAGTCCAGACCGTCAGCAACCCCTTCACAATGGAGAAGTTGCGAACCACAAGATTGACGCGCATCGTCCGCCTCGTCCATTAGCTTGCATTCCGTGTCGACATCGCAAGGTATGTCTATACTTTCCATGTAACTGGTCCGGGTTGTTCCAGGCAGTAAATGATGCGTCTGTCTTGAGTGAAAGTGAAGACAGCGTGTGATTCGCTCAAGCTTTACCCAGGCTTGTCGTAAGTTGCTGTCGAGGCAATAGCATCAGGTCGCCTGCACGCCTGAGATGAGACCTAAGGGCATTGACTAACAGTGAACCGGCGATCTGGTATCGCACTTTGCAGGTCAAATGCGATCACAAAACTCCAGACTGCTCCCACTGTCTTAGGTTTGGGCTGCATTGCACCTGGCCTCAGGGCCGACACCCAACACAACGTCGAAGGCTGTAAGTCCTGATCACACAATCTACCTCAGTTCCTCCAACGTGTGTCATGGTGATTCCTGGTGTCCACTAGGTTGCCTATCTGATACTCCGAACATGGGGAATTTTATTAACGTAACTCCGGAAAAAGCCTATACGATCATTCCGCCAAGAGATTGGCTCAAATGGAGTTTTTAGTGGAGGAGGTGTTAATGAAGAATCGACCCGCGACGATATGCCGGGTCAATGAAGCAGCGCCGGTCGAAATCAAACCAGAATCAAATGTATCATCGCCAGACACTGCGCTCGACCCACCGGATTCTGCAGTCTCTGCTTCGACAACTGGACTAACACTGCTGTGTCGGAGCGCCACCGATGTGAATTCGCCGACTGGACAATCCGACAAGCGTATATCAATGTCCAGCACCTCCACTGAGGGGATGGCGCATTATGTGAGGGCTCCTCATCCGCAAGTCATCTCCGCAACAGGTAAGTCGGGGATCCCTACACCATGTGAACACACATCCTTGTGTCGTTCACTGACATATAACGAGTTCCGGAAACGTGATCATCAGCAACACGGTAACAAACTAACCACTGTCTAGGTGCCTGCTCTCTGCTCTCACGTCAAGGTCTAGCACAGGTCGAACGTCTGGTTGGCGACTCAAGACTCACCGATGCACTGAACGACCTCCGACATCAATTTCAAAGCCTGCACTCTGCTTCCTACCTGCAGCCTGAGGATACGAATAACCCACTGCCCGACCATCAAGTCGTTGCTGATTGCGTGAATGGTAAAGACGCCATCGTAGTGCATCTAAGTCGCATGATGAGGAACCAAATTTAACTAAAGTGAACCGTAGGATACATGGCAACGACGAACATGAGCATCAGGCTGTTTCAGGAGTCTGAGATACAAACCGCCATGCGATCCTATTTGCTTGGGCAACGCATCGAAGACCCTGGCTGGTGGATGGCTGTAAACGTCATGCTTGCCTATACCCTTCGCAAACAAAGTCGCATGCGCAACAAGGCTGTCTACAAGAAATACATTCACAATGCTCTGGGCATGATTCCCAATGTGGTCATTCGATCGCCTTCGCCATTGACAATCGGCTCGCTCCTATCCATGGTAAATTGAACGCGTCCTTCGTCTGAAGATTGCCCATACTGAATCTCCCAGGTCCTATTCTACAAGTTCACGTTCGAAAACCATGTTGCCCAGTCTCTTTTGGGTCTCGCTGTTCAGCTTCTTCTGATGTCTGGCTATCACCGTCCAGAAACCTTTCGCACAGCCTTCACTCCGTCTACTTTGAGCCCGTCAGATCGGCTCCATCGCCGTCGGCTTTTTTGGCAAGCTTATATTCTCGACCATGACCTTATGCTTCGTATTGGCCAGCCCCCACTTATCAAGGATGAATTCTTACTCGACCTACCAGAAGAGTACCCAGCAGATGGGTATAGTATGTACCACTTTCCCAATAACGCTTCTCTCAATTTCTTTTTGCAACAGGTCCGTCTAGCGAGGATACAAGGACGGATCTCGTCAGAGCTGTACTCAAGCGCCAAAGTCTCGTCATCGGAGCTCGAGGCTCAGATTGTTCGTCTTGACTCTGAACTCGAAGAATGGAGGCGAGGCATCCCGGAGGTGATTCACCCTGAATGCTGCGAATGCCTTGTAGACGGAGACCATAGACGGATGGCTTGTCTTACGACACTGCACTTCACGTACTTTCAATTGGTGGTGGCGATTCATTCCGCAGCGTTCCGTCTTCCATACTTAGAGGATCGAGAAGGCATCCAACCCGACAATATCGGTCCTTCTCTGGCTCTCTGCGTCTCTGCCTCTCGAGCGGCAATTTCACTCCTTGGATATCATCAGACAGAACATCCGTTCACACCGTAAGCCGCACTATCTTATAGCCAGCTGACCCGACCTAATAATGCGATCCAGATACCTCCTTTACCAGGTAGCTTGGTCCGCAGACGTTCTATTCGTCAACATTCTCCAGAATAAGATGGCTTCCAGTGCCACGCAAGACCTCAGTCTCCTCAGCGCTGTGATCTCCTTCTTTCAGAAGTACGATCCAGATCACCAATCGGTCATCTTATATCACATTATTCGTATCATGGTTGACGTCGCTTCTTCTATCCTGAACGACACTGCTGTCCTTGCGACAAACCCACTCTCCATCGGTCCTACATCACATAATGCACAGGTTTCAATATTCGCGCCTATCGATGGCGTACCAACTACAAGATCAATGACCTCTGAAGAGTATACCAGCTTTTCTTCAGCAGATACTACCGCCATGGAAACAAAAGCCGCTGTCCAGCCGGGCAATGTTAGCAGCAACTGCGACGCAGCAGGATTTATTAGGGTTAACTCAGCGGCTGATATTGAACAGTACCCGCAGTTGGATGTGGTCAGCATGGCCAGCACAACAACACCCGAGGCTCCGTTCTTTGGCGGGGTTTTGGATGTGGCAAATTGGGGATTGCCAATGGAGTATCATCCGCAACTTTGGCAATGCCAGGAGGTTCTGAACCACAGCCATTCTGATCAGGATTAACGTTACTACCTATATTCATCTGCGGGCCAGTTCTTTCTGTTTCTTTCTGTTCTTGATCCCGTGACTCTTACGCAACACGTTGAGTCATTGTCAGCATTACATGCTTCAGAGGCACATTCTATGGGGCAACTTAATCAGAGTGAGAGAAGATGAGACTAGTGGTAGCCTCTGGGCTTCAACAGTGGGCTACACACGCCCTCGTGGCGTTGACACGCGCCACAGGCGGGTCAGTGCTATAGTTGTGTGGCAGCTGGATACACTGAACATAGACGAATAAAAATCATTGCTGGTGGGAGACTGCACATTTCGACAGGTTAGACACGGAAAAACCCATATCAGATGAGCTTACTGAGTGCCACCCCCGGTTCATGTGCGTGACAAGTTAGAAGACAACAGCTGTTCAAGTGCTCATCCAGATTTCCAGAGTTCTTTCACCCTACCGGACTTCACCCCGCTATGTTGCAGCAGACAAGACGGTTGTGCTGGAGCAGAAAGCAGCCGGAATCGGTAGCTGCAATCACCTGCAGACCTTGAACATAAGACCCCTTCTGCAGTCAAATTCAGCCGGACAAGGTCCACCTTCTTTAACAACTCTCATCTACCGCCGAATGCATCTCCTTTCTGCAAATACTTTTCTCGATTGTGAGACTAACGTAACGTGTTTTCAGTCAATAACTAGGTACTCGCCATCGATTCACTATCTCACGGGATACCGGAACCCGTTACGTATCGAAAGAAGTTATCCAAGCGTTATCTCCTTTGCTACATATAGATGCACGTTCATTGCTATCTTTTTCCTCTCATATTGATTCTCGTCACTTTATCATGATCATCAAAGCCTCGATCTTTTTTGAACTCAGTTTGCGGTTGTAAATATAAGACATTTTACCTGATATTTGGAACATTTTGTCAAATTTGTATTTGTTTGAGGAATATCAAAATATGGAAAGAAAGAGATAGGCAAAAACTGATGATCCCTGCTCCCCTGCGATCTTACAAGCATAGAGCCCCCGGGGAATTTTCATAGGCTGCCGCATGTAAGTATAAGTTAAGTAGGCCGTAAGAATCGGAAGTATAGGTTAACCCTATCATAGCTGATGGTATCCTTTCTCCTCCTTGACAGCCCTATAGGCAACCCTATCAAACAAGAGCTCAGCAACTGAATCCCTCAGGTTCATTCACGTTGCTGCATCTATATCCTGTCGCAGAAGTCGGGGGATCGACACTGATGTCGGTGAAGTTCATATTCTGTATCCGGACATCGTCACATCCGCCGTGAGCCCGACTGCATTGCAAGTAGGCGACGCGGCTTCCTTGGAGTGTGCCACGGAAGTTGGTGAAGCTTATGTTGGAGATATCGAACAAAGACGAGCTGCAATTGCCCTGCTGACCGTTGTAGGTGATGCATTGCATCACGTATATGGGAGCCTGTTCTGCGTCGTAAATGGTTACATTATCCCAACCTAAGGGAATATCAATTAGCTCCACCATCCTAGTCCCGGACGTCATGGGGATATTTATTTTGGATAGCTCTCCATAAGGTAGCTTTCACTGGCTTCAACTTACTGAGATTCTTGGCATCTGAGTGGAAAAGTCAGCTCATTCTCAGCTCGACGTTGTAGGAAGTCACGCCTTACATCCTAGGCCACCGCCACCGCCATTTGGTGGATATCCGAGCTGCGTACCGGTCCACGTCTTGATGCGACCGGCATATCGAGATCCATGGGCCAAGACGTTTCTGACCGTTACGTTCTCGATGGCCTCAAACCGGCCAGCATACTGCCCAATGCTGCCAATAGCAACGCCCTGACCGTCGTGAAATTCCACGTTTTCAATGAGAATGTTCGTAGAGTTAGCTTTGATCGCGATGCAGTCGTCTCCATTTTTGATTATCCAGCGACGAAAGTGGACATTATCCGAGAACATGGTGTTAGCCCCGTCGGTATTACGAGCCGGGTTTCTGTTGGAGCTTGTGTTGTTGACATAGATGTCTTGAAGGAGAACACGTTTGGACCGCGTGATTGTGACCGTCCTATTCCGAGAAGTTGATACAAGTCCACAAAGCTGTATAGAAGCAAAAGAACGGAACATTCTGGCAACTTACCACATTTGAGCCTGGACAAATCGAAGACCCTCAAAGACCGAGTCTTCAGCCCCGTCAAGCAAGAGAGCATGAGGCCGGTCTACTTCGAGTAAGACAGTTGCATTCGTCAACACCGTACAGAGCATGACTCACTGGGGTAATTCGACTCTCCCTTGACCAAGTCATACCAAGTCTGGCCATTTCCATCAAACGTGCCATAGCCAAAGCCGTTCACATCGAGATGCTTTCCTCCAAGGACCCAGGCGGCGGTTTGATTTTGGTAGCCAATTGGCAGAGAATTCGCTAGCCAGTACGTTGTGTTCTTGCTCCACTGTATTTCAAGTCAATCTCTTAACGTCAAAAGACTACGATAAACCACACTCATCGTCACATACTAGCAAAGTCCCTTTGATATCAATCTTGACGTTGTTTAGATCAACAGTTTTCATGACTTGGCCGATGTGATACGTGACGTTTTCAAAGATGATATGTCCGTCAGTCTTGCACTTGTCAAAAGCAGCAAGGATGGCGGGCGTGTCATCAGAGCCGTTACCGTTGGCAGGCACTACACAACGTGTAGACTTTTCCTGTCGTCGATCAAGACCTCGAACCGGACCGAGCTGAGCGACAGCATTGGCTAAGCCAGCTACGAACGCCGCTGTCGAGATGAATCGATTGAAGAACATGGTGAGATGGTACAAGTAAGAGGTCAGTCGATGCTAGGTATGATGACAAAGTTTCTCGCATTTGTGGGTGAGGTAGACTTGAATTTATAGATATCCTGAATTCCTGACGAAATACACGAAGCCCGGATGAGTCGACTATCAGAGTCTAATTCAATGTTCATGACTTTGACAAGTGCCGAAATAACGAGTACCCATTCACCCGTGTACCAAAACGCATACATCGAAGGCCTCGGTAAGCCATGTACATCAAAGTCTAGACAGCTACAAGACTAATTCATCGGAGCAAAAGAGAGCGACTCGGTCAAAGGGAAAAGGAAGGATTAGTGCAAATCCGGACGATCAACCTGTTGCCCATCCCCAAAGAGGGCTGAAAAGGCAGATTTGACCAATTTTGATGACTTAGCCCAGAAGTATTTGAAGGTTCGATTAGGATGTGAGTCCTACCCAGATACGAAAATAACTGCTTTGGCGTCAGTAAATCAGAACACGAAAGTTTTCCGTGACTTTACTTGAGCATAATTAACGGGAATGAATCCGTTGAAAGATGCAAAATGGTTCGCGGAATAATTTCATCACCGTGTGTCGGGACTAGATACTCCATCGAATATTGTGGTAAGGAACGCCAATTATTTACCAAGAAAAGCTTCACTCGTCCTTCTTTGTACCGAGACTTACTCTTTCCCTGCCGGGATCGAGCAAGCTTCCCCGCAAAAGCTCGTTCCCACGTAAAGGCTTGTTGGCAATGTAGAGTTGCGCGGTAAGGCAGGGGAGCAGGGGTCAGAATTTCCATTCTTACTCGCAACAGGCAAGTTTGGATGATGACACCTCGTCTAAGGAGGTGCAAGTCTTTTCGCACAGGTTAGCGTAGCTGCCCATGTTAAGAATTGCAAAGGGCGACTAGCTAGAGCGGGAGCATTGACATGGCCGGGTTGCTTGGCGTGCGGTACCACTTCCTTTTCCCCGAGTTTCGGTCAAAGATCAGTATCGGATACCGACAGGACCCTAATCGTGGGTTGGAAAAGCAATCATTGATCTTAGATGGATGTGCACATCATAGAAGACGATGCGATACCGACGAGATTCGGACACATGCTTGTTTATCTGACGGGGCCTCGATGCATCGGATCAGCCGTGACTCTAGTGAATCCTACCCCTGATTAAGCTTCGATTTTCCTCACGCCAACCTATCGCTCGATACAGGATCACCATGTACTTCCGACGTCTCCTCCACATCATCTGGCTCTTCACAGTTGTGACAGCGAAGTGGATCGTTCCGGGCGCCCGATGGCATGACACCGATGGAAACATCTTTAACGCACACATTGGTAGGCTTGCCATTGATTAAGAGACTGGTAAGTTTTACTGGTTTGGGGAGTAGAAGGTTGAGGGGTAAGTTGAGGGCAGTGGAGTTTCCGTATATAGTTCTGACGATTTGGCAACGTGGACTTCGCTTAGCAATGACAAGCTGGTCATCGGGGCTGTCATGACTCCCAAAGCCATAAGGACATAACTTTGCGAACGCTCTTGAGAAAGATGTCTCGGCAAGACCCGAACCTTTTCTGGCTACACTGATTTCGATTCTTAGACATGGGGCCTGTCACGGATTGAAAACTAGTAATTCCTGATATGCGCGCACCGGGTATCTGTTCCTCTATTCTATTCTCTTGTTTGAGATATTGCTTTCCTGGCCCTGACTTCGTCGTAGTTGTCATAAAGAGAATACGGGGCATGGGGTGGAATTATAGCCTCGAAACGATAGACATCGCTGCTAGTATTATCCTGCTCGAGAAGTTAGCGCCACAAAGACATGCAGCTTATCTTTAAACAGAAATGTGGTCGTAAAAGCAGTAATAGCCCCTTGCTGAATACAAAAAACGTCTACATGAGACGCATTTTCATAAAAAGGCACTACCGTCGAAGTTTGGTACCACACAGCAGTAGCTCTTATACTCCGCCTCTAATTGACTTTCTGGAATTAAAGCAGAGCACACTTATAATGGAGTGTTTAAAAAAGACTAGACTCCTCTCTATATAAGCTTGCGGTGGCGGATCAAGGATGAATCTTTATCGACGTAACGCAACCTTTCCCATGCGATTTCGGCTACCACTTTGCTACCATCTACTGAGAGGACTTCTCGCACATCCAGTTCCCGGTTCACATGATCGACGTCACTTTAATAGTGGCTGAATCTCAATAAAAGTTTCGTGGTCGGGCCAGGGAACTTTCGAGC